TTTTTTGGATTTTGATACTCATATTATTGCTTTTACTTTCAAAACTCTAGTTCTGAGAATGATATTGATTGGATTTTGAGACTCTTGTTATTGCTTCTACTCTGATTTTTGATTTTCTTTTTGTTCTAGAACGAGAATTTTGCACAGTGAAACAAATTTGAACAACAGTTCAATACATTGTCGAACCTAAACCATGATAATGACAAAGAGTTGTGTTCTCATTATCAATACACAAAATGTGGCTCAAACACGACAATGCCAAAGACTAAAACAACACATAATCGTTATGGAAAATGCAAAAAACACTACAGATAATCCTAATGGAAAATGTAAAACACGATCACACCCATTACCAATCCACTAACCATCACATTCTTAATGGAACTCATGACTGCATTAAGCTTCTCAATCTCATTTTTGCAGGAACAGACATCAGCTTTTAACTCTCCAATCTCCTTCTCAAATCCAGCGGCTTCTACTTTCAATGCTTCAAGTTCAGGTCGAAAGCGTTCAACCTCTTCGACGATAGAAACATCTGTCCACTTGAACAGATGATTTTTATCCTAACAACAATACAACAGACTCGATTTATATGGGTCACTGACATCAAACTAAAGAACAAATTAATTAACAGAGACTATACATTACCTCCTTGGATCTATACGGACAACAGTAGAATAGTCTCCCCGGATTTTGATACGTCTCCGAAGTTCTGATAATAGCTCGGGCACCACATCGACATTTCGATGGTATGCCTCTTTCCCGCTCAGTCTCGTGCCGCTTGAAGGAGATTACTTCAAACAAAACAATGGCGGTAGTTATCAGATGAAAAAAAAAAAGAAATCTACTCACAACGTAATACACTAACAAACACATAAGAGGGAAAAATATTTAATACCCGAACTGCTAGAAGAAGACATTGAATTCGAACAACAATCCAAAGACTGAAGAATTTGATTTTTAAATCCCTAAGTCGTCGATAAGTCAAGTATCGAAGGGTTGAAGAAGATATAAACGACATCGCTTTATGTATTTTACTTGTTAAACTTCATAAGTCCAAAACGACGTCGTCGTTGATGTTGATGCCACGTATACGTGATTTAACGGATCGTTAACATTTATGGACGGAAATTGATTTAAGCGCAATACACATAGATTACGGATGAAAATCAAACTTTTATAAGGTTTAAGTATGTTTTAACTAGAAAAATAGTTCAAGCCTAACTTTAACACTTTCCACAAGTTTAGGTCTGAATTAGCCAATTTTCCGAAGATTAACATACTCTGAGTTCAAGTTAAATGAAACCGCTTGATAAATCTGATTCATTAACCCACTAGTTTAGCTTGGAAGCACCCGAGTCAAGTATCCTGTCTAAAGCTTCTGTCTTTACCATATATTATCATCATCCGAATCACTTGCTTATCAATTGCATCTTTACTTAGTTTAAATCTTATCTTTTGCTTCATTTTCATGCTTATTTACTTGTTAAATAGTTTAGCTAAAACCTTTACTCTTTCATCTTGACTTAAGATCACAAGTAATATAGACTAGTGTCTCCCTCACAAGTTTGGATTGATAACCCCTTGTACTACAAGACAGGGGATTGATAACCTCTACAAAGAGTCTTATAAACTCTTAGTTATCAATTTGACGTGGTGGAGCCATATCAGATCAATTTGACAGGCGGTGACAAAGAATGGATTTCTCCAACAAAGACATCACGGAATCAATAAGAAAAATCAGTGGAACCTGAATCGGAATCCATTCGTCTGGCTCACGGTTTTTTGCTTTGATGGATAATAATGATGAGGAAACAGAGGTTGAGGAGGCAGTGAAGGTTGCCGGCGGTAAAACAGATGATGCTGACGAAGATGATGATGCTGAACTCCTTGATTCTACGGAAACTGACGCGAGTTTGAAAAATCAATCGGTACAAAACGAATCAGCCATGGCCGATGTTAGCATAAAGGCTAACCGTGAAACTCTAAAACGGGCAGCTAAAACAGCTCATCGATATGTTAATGACCCTCCCCAACAGTGACAGACAACTCGCAAAACAGGGAGGAAAAACAATGGAGGTCCCAACAAAAACCAATCTCAATGACTGTTTTTTTCTAGAACATTCGTGGATTTAACAAACCATCCAAGCATTTAGTGGTAAAAGATTGGGTGCAAGAAAACAATTTTTCGTTTGGTTGCATTTTGGAAACTCGAGTTAAGGAAATGAACAGTTTGAGAATTATTTCTACGGTTTTCCCAGGCTGGTCATCTGTTTCGAATTATGAGTACAACCCGCTGGGGCGGATCTGGGTTGTATGGAGAAAGGAAATTCAGCTGAAATTTATTCAAAAAAGCGAGCAGATGATCTCATGTGAAATAGCTCTTACTGGTCAGGATGAGATTGTTTTTTGCTCGTTTGTTTACGCTCTAAATACTGCGGCTGAGCGCAGAAGTCTTTGGGAGGAGATGAAAGACTTGCACGCAAATAATTTTCGCAGTAAGAGATGGATTGTCTGCGGCGATTTCAACGAAATCCTTTCGAGTGAGGATCATTCAAATGCTAACTCAGGGGCAGCTAGTACTCATGGATCTTTGGATTTTCAGGATGCACTTAGCCACTGTAACATGGTTGATATGGGAATGCATGGCCCTTGGTTTACTTGGTGTAATAAACGGCAAGAAGGTCTTATTCACAAGAAGATTGATAGGGTCCTAATAAATGAGGATTGGCTCCTGACTTTTACACACTCTTACTCCGTCTTCGAGGCAGGAGGTTGCTCCGATCATTTGCGAGGTCGTTTTGTCTTGATCACAAACAAGAGAACGTCAAGAAGCCATTCAAGTTCGTAAATCAGCTTGTCAAATTACCTGAATTTTTGCCGGTAGTAGAACAGTACTGGGACGAGACTGATGCACTGTTCCATTCGACATCTGCAATGCACAAGTTGGCCAAGAAGTTAAAGAACCTAAAGCCAAAACTAAGGGAGCTGTCAAAGCAGCGATTTAGCGACTTGTCGAAACGCACTACTGCAGCTTATAAGGATCTCTGTACAAAACAAGAAAGCAATGCGAGCATGGAGGCCGAATTGAGGGCTCTTGCGAAATGGGAACACCTCTCCGAGTTAGAAGAGGGATACCTTAAGCAAAAGTCCAAGCTGCACTGGCTAAACGTGGGGGATAAAAGTAATGTTGTTTTCTTTCGTGCAGTGTGTATTCGAGAGTCACAAAATCAGATCAAGGAGATCGTGAACAAGGATGAAATTGTGCTGAAGGATCAAAATGCTATCAAAAAGGAAGCAGAGCGGCACTTTAGTGAGTTCCTTGGTCACTATCTGGTGGATTTCCAAGGTGCAGAGGTCGATGCTCTCCAGCAATTACTTGCCAAGCAATGCTCTTCTCCGGAGTGTGAACAACTAGTCTCAGAGGTGACAGAGGACGAGATTAAAAGGGTGGTGTTCTCAATGCCGAATAACAAGTTGCCAGGTCCGGATGGGTTTACGGCAGAGTTCTTCAAGGGTGCTTGGTCACACATAGGTGGTGATGTAACAATTACAATTCAGTCTTTCTTCAAATTTGGATTTTTTCCAAAGGGTGTGAATTCTACTATCTTGGCTCTGATCCCAAAAAAGAAAGACGCAAAAGAGATGAAAGAATATCGCCCTATATCATGCTGCAATGTATTATACAAGGTGATATCTAAAATTCTGGCAAATCGTTTGAAGAGATTACTTCCGAGCATAATTGCACCAAACCAATCGGCTTTTGTTGAAGGGCGCCTTTTGGTTGAAAATGTTCTTCTTACTTCTGAGATTGTTCAGGACTATCATAGGGATGCCTCTCCTCCACGATGCTCTATGATGATTGATATTGCTAAGGCTTTTGACACGGTGCAGTAGAGTTTTGTGTTAATGTGCTACATGCGTTAGGTATACCTGATGCTTTTGTCCACTGGATTTAGCTTTGCTTTTGTCCACTGGATTTAGCTTTTTATATCTTCTGCTTCATTTTCGGTTCAAGTAAATGGCGAGTTGGCTGGATATTTACAGAGTAAGAGAGGGCTGCTCCAAGGTTGTGCCCTGTCACCTAATCTGTTTATGTTATGCATGAATGTGTTATCTAAGCTTTTAGATCGAGCAGCTGCGATGAATAGAGTTGAATATCATAAGAACTGTTCGCGAATCAAGCTTACACATCTTTGCTTTGCGGATGATTTGTTGGTGTTTTGTGATGGCACACTGCGATCGATAGAAGGCATAATTAAGGTTTTTGATGAATTCGCAAGGTTCTCAGGTCTCAAGATAAGCCTAGAGAAATCAACGGTGTTTATGTCGGGTGTCATGGCATAAAACAGAGAATTAATCATCGACAAGTTTCCGTTAGCATAGGGGAGTTACCGGTGCCGTATCTTGTGCTTCCGTTAATGACTAAGAAGATGTCAAAAGACGATTATGCTCTATTAGTAGCCAAAATTCGAAGCAAAATGAATACCTGGACGGTACGACATGTCTCTTTCGCCGGTCGCTTATAGCTGTTGACATCGGTAATATCAGGCATAGTAAATTTTTGGATGGGTGCGTTTCAACTTCCCCAAAGCTGCATTAAAGAAGTGGAATAAATATGTAGTGCATTTCTCTGGTCGGGACCAGTTCTAAGTTCTCGAAGAGCAAAGGTTGCTTGGTCTGACGTTTGTCGTCCAAGGGTTGAGGGAGGTTTGGGTCTTAGATCTCTAACAGAGGCAAACACTGTCTGTGTCCTAAAGATTTTATGGAGATTGCTGTCTCATTCTGCGTCGTTGTGGGCTGTGTGGATTAAGGAATATATCCTGCGAGGCAAATCTGTTTGGTCTTTACCAAACTCTTCAAACCAAGGTTCATGGATATGGAAAAGAATTCTAAAAACTCGAACTCTGGCTAAGAATCTTCATAAAATAGAAGCTAATATTGGTGTAACGACATCTTTCTGGTTCGACGAGTGGAGCTCATTAGGTCGGCTAATAGATATGGCGGGCACCCAGGGATTTATTTCTCTTGGCATTCCTGCTCATTCATCTCTGGCCGAGGTGTGGCTGACACATAGGCGACGGAGACATAGGCGTGATGACTTTAATTCCATTGAGCAGGCTATTTGGGAAGCGAAGGAAAGGGGGAGCAATCGCGAGGACCATGCGCTTTGGTGTGGGAAGAATGGAACATTCAAACCAAACTTCTCATCAAAGCACACATGGAACAATATTCGGAACCCTGCATCTCGAAAAGTTTGGAGCACCATGGTCTGGTTCAAGAATGCAACACCGCGATGTGCTTTCATCACCTGGCTTGCGATGCTGAACCGTTTGTCCACAGGAGAGTGTATGGCGCAATGGGGTCAGGGGTTGGCCACTTCATGCGTCTTCTGTCAAACTCCTATGGAAACAAGAGACCATCTTTTCTTTGAATACAGATTTTCAAATCAGATATGGCAAAAGTTAATGCAGGGACTGCTCAAGTGCATTACACGTATCGTTGGAATGAGATTATATTGCTCTTCACGTCGAATGCTCTGCCACAAACAGAGCTATTCCTCGCTCGATATACTCTTTTAGATGGCCCTTATTTCGATTTGGAAGGAGCGAAACGGCAAGTGCCATGGCGACACCCCAATTCAAGCTGACAGGATAGACAAAACAGTTAGAAATCGGCTGAGTTCCTGCGTCTCGCAGGTGATACTCGATACGCAAATGGAATGACTATTTGGTTTGGCTCAAGACACTGATAAAACAAAGCTATTGTATTTTCTAAAAGTTTTTTGATTTTCTTGGTTGCGACCAAATTTCTTTTTTTTTTACTCTCTAAGAATTAAAATGTGAAGAAAACGATTTTTTTTTTTTTAACTAATTTAACATATTTAAAAAAAAAAGATATAGATATTAAAAAAAAACAACAATGAATGATACAATATCATCACTTACACCAGTCTCTACCATTGCTTTTCTTAAGTCTTTATTACTACTAATTATATATAAGCCCATGGAATCAACACAAACAATTTAAATCCAAGGAACCAAAAAGTTGAAAGTCCGAACAGGAAGCAGAGAGGTTTGAGTTAAAGCAACATACATTCATTATCCTCACCAAACCCTAATGTTATTAGAGAAGAGAGAGAGGCCTTTCTCGACTTTAAATCGTCTGTAGCTGAGAGAAGGAGATTCTGATAACTGATCCGCCTAGAGGAGTCGCATGCTTGCACACCAGAGCTTCTGCAGCTTCCTCCTCGTTCTCAAACTGCACAAGAGCTTGCTTCTTCCCGTTCATCTCAAACACTTTTGTGTTCACTATTACCCCGTGTTCTTGGACATGGTTCACCACTTCCTCCTCTGTCACGTCTTGTGGCAGAGTCGACAGGTGAATCATCTTTGTAGGGGAGCAGCAATAGCGGTAGTTCTTTGCAGCGTTGCGGTTGAAGCGGTTCAGGTTCGAGTTTACATAATCATGCGAGTCTGTTCCTGGTGTTATATTTGGATGCTTAGAGAAGTTTACTTCGAGCCGCTTACCAAACAGCATCGCTCCCTGCAAGAAGCACATGATATACACAGTTAAACAATCCCATTTTAACATCATCCATCTACTTAACTCGAAACTTATCCCAGACACATTGTTGAATGCATTTATATTTACCAAACAGGGACATGGACAAACCTTGAGGAAATGTACGGCAAGTTCAGCTGGAAAACCATCTCCCATTTGGACAAGGGCATGGTCAGGTTTGTTCCGGAGAATCTTTATCCTTACAATGTTCCCGTAGAGAGAAAACAGATTGAATAACTTATCCTCATCCATACTCTGAAACAAACGAATCGGGTAAGCTCGGAAAACATTATAAGAAAACCAAAGTTGTCAAAAGCAAAACGATTAAAAACCAACTTACCTCTGCATTCAGATTGGAGACAAGGACTGTACACCTATCATTTGTGCCAGTTATACCGGGAGGCAAGCCTCCTCCAAAGGCAGCTGCAATCGCAGCTGTGTTGGCCATCTAGTTTTAAGTAACAGCACACAGATGAGATTAGTTATGTACATAACCGAAACATTTAACAAATGTTGAAACCAATGGACTACGAGGTTCAATGAATAAAAATGAGAAATGCCATTTGGAGAACAGATTTGAGAAAAAAGGTGATTCTGGCGATATCTTGATCAAAAGAGTTGCTAAAACCGTGTATCATGAGCTTAGCTACCCACCTGAGGATATGCCACTGCAAAAAGAAGAAAAAAAAATTGAATCAGAAAAAGACCACAGTGTAGAAGAACAGAGCATAGAGTTACAATCATGTATGACACATACCTCCTACATCACCATAGCCAGGCTGCAAGAGAAGAAATAGAACGTTATAAGACACCATACACGGATATAAAACATATGTAACTAATTAGTAAAGCAGGTCATACATGAGATGAACGGCCTTTTTGCTCTGATGGCAAGTTTGGATTGGTATAATCCCTACTCAAATGCAAGATAAATCAGTTATGTGGACACCAATAACAACATCAAATTGTATAACCGCAAAGAAGATGGAAGCTAGGAACACATGATCCATACCTAGATCGATCATTGTTGTAATTTACTTGCAGCTCCTCAAGGCTGAAAATGAAAAACCATGTTAATACTCACAACACCAGATCAAAACATGTAGAAACTAAAACAAATTAACAATAGATGCCTTCAGCAACATGTGTAACCAAACAGAGCATACTTTGAGAATTGAATATCCAACTGGCAACACCCGTCATATATGTTACGACCCTGCCACAAAGAAGGTAACATTTATTATTTCAGTTTTAGAAAAAAAGTAAGGCAGACCTAGAATATCTGTTTTAAAGTGAAGCATTTTTCAAATTCTTATAAAATAACACCTGTAGAGCAGTTCTAGCAGAGGCAGCACACTGTTGTGCCTGATACTGGATAAGAGCTTGAAAACCTAAACATTTCACAAACAAGCTTAAAGGTAAAGATCATCAGAACTGAGAAAATAAATAAAAACACACAGTTTTTCACAGCAATATTATAATAGAGGCGAACAACATTAAATAGAAAAACTGCCAAGTAATTCTCCAAACAAGACAAGCAGAGCTAAACAGAATAGAAGAGGGAGAAAAGAACACGGGGAAGCTGACCAGCAGACTTCTGGAAAGTGACGAGCTTCTCCACAAATCCATAGGGAGAAAAAACTTGGTGCAGCACATCCACAGTGATTGGATACAGCATGTGATGGATTGTGACTAAAAGAATACGATTTGGCTGTACATTCACCATCCCCGCAGCAACCACCAGTCAGACGGAATGGAGAGAGAAAGAGAAGAAAAGTGAATAAAGAGCGAGAAAAAGAAGCGACGGTTATGTACCACGATGAATAAGTCTCCTCATTTCGTATAAATGAAAACGACAAGCCAATAACACAACATCTTAAGATTCTCATATTATAACACCAAACAAGTAAAAGATACAAACCTCATCTTCGCGTCCATGAATATTCTGCTCTATTGTAGTCAGTTCTTGGTGAGACGAGAATTGGATATACACATTCCTTCCTCTGGAATTGATAATGTTCAAATAAATTAGTGTGAACGGTTCAAAAAAGAAAACTAAAAGAAGGAATCTTTTGGTCAAAAACCTTATGGTTGGCTGCACATTAGTAAAAAACTGAAGAGCACTGACTGCTGAAGAAACGTCTTGCATCTGGAGAAGAGCCTTCAAAACAAGTAGAAAAAGAAATGTCAACGTAAGCCATAAGTTCCCACAAAGAGGTAGATAGAAGGTGGAATCTCCGAGACCTGATTCTTTGCCCTGAGCATCACAAGCTTAGTTATGACACCAAATGGCTGGAAAAGCTGAAGCAAATCATTCTGTTGAACAAGAACAGAATCAAGATTATGAAGAAGACGCAAAAATTTTCATTTAACTCTTTGGCAGAACATGAAAACTCAATGAGGAAAAAGAAGAAGAAGAAGAAGAAGAAGAAGAAGAAGAAGAAGAAGAAGAAGAAGAAGAAGAAGAAGAAGAAGAAGAAGAGGTGATTTTACTTCAGAAATCTCATGTCCAACATTTCGAACATGAATGACTTTGGAAGATTCCGCCATTAAGAACCTGCAAACCAAAGAATCCAAACAAAACTCGACATCAATTTTCCCGCTCACAGAATCTGAAATCGACGGTTTCTCAATTCGATTACGAGACAAGTTAGATTCAGGGAGATTATCTCCCTGTTTCTCCAATCAAAACACAAACATCGATCAGGGAAACATAAACAACATTGGAAAAGGAACAGGTATCGAACCAAAGTTGTCTGCAGAAACCGAAGCAATAAACATGAAGATAAGGGGAGAGAGAACTTGCCTAGCCTGAGAGAGACACAGGAGAGAGAGAGAAAGAGGGAGAGAGAGAGAAGAAGAAAGTGTAGATCGAAGAAGGCTTGAGAGGATCTCGTCGTCAATGCTTTTAACCCTATCTATTAATCATCTTTATATCAAGTTTTTTTCTTTCTTCGTGCCTCCTCTCGCTTGGTTTTTAGCCGAACCCTTTCCCCCTATCTGTCTTACTCTAAAGACCCAACCAATTTCAACTTCACAATAACCTTCTAACAATACGAGAAGGTTATCTTGTTATTTTATCCATTTTTTTAAAATTATTTTTATTTTACACTATTTCATTTAAATGAATACCCGCGTAAATATGTATCATTTTTTTAAAATAAATATATTTCTTACTTATAACATTTATGCTATTTTCACATTTTTCTTATGTTTTAATATGAATAGATAAGTAATTTATTTTAATATAGTATTAATTATTTATTTTTATGGCATACATTCATAAAACACGTTAATTGAAAATATTAAGATATTCACAATATGTATTTTTTTTACCACAATGAAAGGTTTTTTTAATCCCTATTATTTATTTAGATTACTTTTATTTTACGCTATTTCATTTAGATGAATATCCACACAAACATATATATCATTTTTTTAGAAATAAGACACGACTGATGGCTCAAAGTTACTCTCAGGTTGAAGGTGTTGACTTTGATGATAAATTTGATGGAATCCAAACTTCACCAACTGGATGTTTAGAATACGTTTTTAAACATGATTTTCCCAGAAAAAGTGTGTGTAGAACAACCAAAAGGTTTCGAAAATATTGACCACCCATACTCTTTGTGGATATGATTCCAATACAGGTTATTATCAAGATATTAAATGTCTAAAACAGCACACATCAGGTTTAGTTGTTTTACAAAAATATCATTGTTTACCTTGTTGTGATTACCCATGAGTATCTATCATGAATTTGCATTTGACTTATGTTCTGACTTATTTGCTGATATATCAAGATCTTCCATATATATATATATATATATGGTATTTGATTTGTTTTTAGGTTGTTAATTGATGATATGCAGATCAAATTTATGTTGAGGCCTAGTTTCCAAGCCCATGAGTGGGACGAGCACTTTTGGAGGAAACGTTTCTTGGATTCTCTAGATTACAGAGATAAATCAGTGTCTCATTTGCCATCAGAACTCACCTAGTCTATGAGTTCTTTTTGGTTTGGTTTGAGTTGTTCATCACCAGAAACTAGAAACAATGCATGCGATTCTTTCCAGCATCTTGCGA